TGCTTTTTAATATGCTGTATAGGTTGGTCATAGCTTTTCTTCCAAGGAGTAGTTCAGTTCAGTTCAGTCACTCAATCGTGTCTGACTCTTTGTGATCCCATGAATCGCAGCACGCCAGGCCTCCCTGTCCATCACCAACTCCCACAGTTTACTCAAACTCATATCCATCAAGTCGGTGATACCATCCAACCATCTCATCCTCTGTCATCCCCTTCTCCTCCTGCCCTCAATTTGTCCTAGCATCAGGGACTTTTCAAATGAGTCGGCTCTTCACATCAGGTGGCCAAAGTATTGGAGTTTCAGCTTCAGCATCAGTCCTTCCAATGAACACCTAGGACTGATCTCTTTAGGATGGACTGGTTGGACCTCCTTGCAGTCCAAGTGACTCTCAAGAGTCTTCTCCAACACCACAGTTCAAAAGCGTCAATTCTTCAACACTCAGCTTTCTTCACAGTCCAACTCTCACATCCATACATGACCACTGGAAAAACCATAGCCTTGACCAGGTGGAGCTTTGTTGGCAAAGTAATGTCTCTGCTTTTTAATATGCTGTCTAGGTTGGTCATAACTTTCCTTCCATGGAGTAAGCGTCTTTTAATTTCATGGCTGCAGTCACCATCTCCAGTGATCTGGGAGCCCAGAAAAACAAAGTCAGCCACTGTTTCCACTGTTTCCCCATCTATTTGCCATGAACTGATGGGACCAGATGCCGTGAATTAGTTTTCTGAATGTTGAGCTTTAAGCCAATTTTTTCACTCTCCTCTTTCACTTTCATCAGGAGGCTCTTTAGTTCTTCTTCACTTTCTGCCATAAAGGTGGTGTCGTCTGCATATCTGAGGTTATTGATATTTCTTCTGGCAATCTTGGTTCCAGCTTGTGCTTCTTCGAGCCCAGCATTTCTCATTATGTACTCTGCATATAAGTTAAATAAGCAGGGTGACAATATACCGCCTTGACATACTCCTTTTCCTATTGGGAACCAGTCTTTTGTTCCATGTCCAGTTCTAACTGTTGCTTCCTGACCTGCATACAGATTTCTCAAGAGGCAGGTCAGGTGGTCTGGTATTCCCATTACTTTCACAATTTTCCACAGTGTTTTGTGATCCACACAGTCAAAGGCTTTGGCATAGTCAATAAAGCAGAAATAGATGTTTTTCTGGAACTCTCTTGCTTTTTCGATGATCCAATGGATGTTGGCAATTTGATCTCTGATTCCTCTGCCTTTCCTAAAACCAGCTTGAACATCTGGAAGTTAATGGGTCACATACTTTGAAGTCTGGCTTGGAGAATTTTGAGCATTACTTTACTAGCATGTGAGATGAATGCAATTGTGTGGTAGTTTGAGCATTCTTTGGCATTGCCTTTCTTTGGGATTGGAATGAAAATTGACTTTTTCAAGTCCTGTGGCCACTGCTGAGTTTTCCAAATTTGCTGGCATATTGACTGCAGCACTTTCACAGCATCATCTTTCAGGATTTGAAATAGCGCAACTGGAATTCCATCATCTCCAGTAGCTTTGTTCATAGTGATGCTTCCTAAGGCCTACTTGTTTTCACATTCCAGGATGTCTGGCTCTAGGTGAGTGATCACACCATCATGATTATCTGGGTCGTGAAGATCTTTTTTGTACAGTTCTTCTGTGTATTCTTGCCACCTCTTCTTAATTTCTTCTGCTTTTGTCAGGTCCATAACATTTCTGTCAGGTCCATACCATTTCTGTCCTTTACTGAGCCCATCTTTGCATGAAATGTTCCCTTGGTTTCTCTAATTTTCTTGAAGAGATCGCTAGTCTTTCCCATTCTATTGTTTTCCTCTATTTCTTTGCATTGATCACTGAGGAAGGCTTCTTATCTCTCCTTCCTGTTCTTTGGAACTCTGCATTCAAATGGGTATGTCTTTCCTTTTCTCCTTCGCTTTTTGCTTCTCTTCTTTTCACAGCAATTTTTAAGGCCTCCTCAGACTGCCATTTTGCTTTTGGGCATTTCCTTTTCTTGGGGATGGTCTTGATTCCTGTCTCCTGTACAACGTCTGAAACCTCCATCCATAGTTCATCAGGCACTCTGTCGATCAGACCTAGTCCCTTAAATCTATTTCTCATTTCCACTGCATAATCATAAGGGATTTGATTTAGGTCATACCTGAATGGTCTAGTGGTTTTCCCTGCTGTTGCTGCTGCTGGTGCTAAGTCGCTTCAGTCGTGTCCGACTCTTAGCGACCCCATAGACTGCAGCCCACCAGGCTCCTCCGTCCATGGGATTTTCCAGGCAAGAGGACTGGAGTGGGGTGCCATCGACTTCTCCAAGTGGTTTTCCCTACTTTCTTCAATATAACTCTGTGTTTGGCAATAAGAAATTCATGACCTATGCCACAGTCTGCTCCCAGTCTTATTTTTGCTGACTGTATGGAGCTTCTCCATCTTTGGCTTGTAAAGAACATAATCAGTCTGATTTCAGTGTTGACCATCTGGTGATGTCCATGTGTAGAGTCCTCTCTTGTGTTGTTGGAAGAGGGTGTTTGCTATGACCAGTGCGTTCTCTTGGCACAACTCTATTAGGGAGGTGGATTCTTTACCACTGGGCCATCTGGGAAGCTCCTCTCACTCCTATTTCTCTTTATTTCCCCCCATTCTCCAAAGTCTTCTTCATACGATGGAATTATGAGCACATCACACCTTTGCTTTCATACTTTAACTCCTATTAGGTATTCATGAAACATGATATTCAGGTTTTCATTATGTAAATTCCATTAGACTTTCTAGTCTCATGCCCCTCCATCCCACCCACTTTGCTTTATCTAATTAAAGTCTTAAGAGATCCCTGAGAGTTTGCACTTGCCTATGATTTTATGTTTTATGTGTTCTTCCTTTTGACTGGAATGTCCTTTCCCATCTTGTCTCCCCAGTAAACTTTACACATTTTTCAAGATTCTAGCAACTCTTCCTTTTTTGGAATGGTCCCTGTTCCCATAAGTGATCCTCATCTCTGGGCTCCCTTGGTGCTGTGTACAAATCTTTATCACAGCATCTCTTGCAGTGTTCTGGGAAAGATCTCACTCCTTGAGGGAAAATACTGTGTCCTCATTTTGAGATTTGCAGTGCCTCACACAGCACCTAGCACAGGGCAGAGCATCAGTGAGTATTTGCTGAATGAAATAAAGGAAGAAATCAAGATGCTGAATTAGGTCACCTGGACCTGTGCTTCTCATAATTATTTGTGTGATTTTGATGATGCTTCTTTGGCTTTCAGATTTTTTTCATCTGTTATATGGGGAAATAGAGCTAGCTTTTCTGTTAGGCTTTCTCCAGCTTTAATACTTGATGGCTGAAATTATCATCTATTACAAAGGCTGAAATACATATTTTATTTGATTACAGAATGTTTTATGAAAATGTTAAGAATACTGGAAAAAATTTTTCACATAAAAATCAGAATTTCCACTATATCTCAACAAAGCTGAGAATTTGATTATATTGGGCCAATATTCCTAAAAGTCTGCAATCGGCTCTAGCTGAACCATGCTGCCCCTTTAGACGTGGGTGTGTGCATTTTGTCTGACAATCCTGCCCATCTTTTTCTACTGTCTGCTCTTAACAGAGGGAAAGTATAAGTTGCTGCCTACTGTCACACTTATACCACAGTACTCTTCAGGAAAAATGAGAAATAGAAAATAGTTCTTGGGGACTTTCCTGGTGGTCCAGTGGTTGAGAATCTGCCTTTCATTGCAGGGGATGTGGGCTCGATCCCTGGTCAGGGAACCAGGATCCCACATGCCATGGGGCAACGAGAGAAAGCCTGAGTGCTGCAATATAACCAAAAATTTTTTTAAAAAATAAAATATTTCTTGTTCCCATTTCTCTGTTTAAAGGAGAAAAGTGAAAAATAAATGGAGAGCCTCTTATATTTCTTATCCTTGGGTGACCTCACTCACTCAAGTACATTTGTATGCATAATTACAAACAACCTAAAATTTGCTTGTAAAGTGAAAGTGACAGTATTGGTCCCTCAGTCATGTCCAGCTCCCTGCATTCCATGGACTGTAGCCTGCCAGGCTCCTCTGTCCTTGGAATTCTCAAGACAAGAATACGGGAGTAGGTTGCCATTTCCTTCTCCGAAAATTTGCTTGGGTGGTACCAATTCAAAGTATTCTGGCTTTAGATTTCTTTTCACCTTAGTTCATCTGGATTTTAATGTCCTGATGATCCTTTCGGAAAATACTGTTGCCTTAATAAAGGCAAATATATGCCTTGTGCTCAGTCGGGTCCAACTCTTTGCAGCCTCAGGGACTGTAGCCCACCAAGCTCCTCTGTTCATGGAATGTTCCAGGCCAGAATACTGGAGTGGGTTGCCACTGTCTATTCCAGGGGATCTTCCCAACCCAGGGATCGAAACTGCGTCTCTTGGGTCTCCTACATTGGCAGGCAGATTCTTTACTACCGCAGAACCTGAGAAGCCCCAATAAAGACCTCATTAATTAATTTGATATTTCTTTCACCTGAAGCAACTGATGCTTTTTATCTAACGATTACTTTATATTTGAATATTTATCATAAGAACATTCTCTGCTCACTTCAAATCCTGTGAAAACTACTTCCTGACTTTCAAGGATGCTATGAAAACTTGTCTAAGAGAGCACAAGGAAATTACTCTTCGTTTATTCCTTCATTGTTCCTGTTAGAACTGCAAGAACTGCATATTTATACGTTTGCATTTTTTAAATAGACCTGCGAATATGGTCTACTGTAGAGTTAAGTGTTGGGAAACAAGATAGGCATGAGTTGATGATACGGCCTGAAGTCTAGGGAGGCCGAAATCACCCGATAAAGAAAACAGCAGCTCTCCATTCCTTCTTGTTTTTTCCACGCAAACGAGGGCGTTCGCCATCCGCACTTCAGACCTCAAGGAACACCTCCTCCGTACTGTGCAATTTTGCAGGAACCCCTATTTCTTAGCGTAGAACCAGAGGGGGCGGGGAAGGCCGCTGTCACTCAACTCAACTGGCCAATGAGAGGGGGGAAAGCCCCGCCTCCTTCCCTGGGAGGTATTGCGGGCATGCGCAGTGGGCGTTCCAGCGCCACCACCCATCAGCTGAGAATCGTAGCTGGGGGCTCAGGGGCCCTTGGGTCCCCGCCGCCAAAGAAGGAGAAGGAAGCCGAGGAGGTCGGGGTAAGAGGAGCCTCGGGAGGGGGTGTCCCTGGCGGGGCGCCCCGAAAGCGCGTGTGCCCGTGGCTGCCGCGCCACCTTGTTTTTTGTGCGCGTTGTCAGGTGGCCGCCGCCCCTGCGCTTTGCGGCAGGCTCCCGGGAGTCGGAGGGCCGGCGCTGACCCTGCCCCGGGATCGCGCTGCTCCCCACGCCCCGCGGGCTGGCGCGGGTGCGCCGCCCGATCAGGCGGGTCCCGCCGGCCCTGCCAGCCCGGCCCGCCCAGCGCCGGCTGCGCTGCAGCCTCGCCTCCGCCCCCGGCCGCCCCGGCAGCCCCGGCCGCGCTCGCTCAGGCGCACCGGCGGGCTGCGCGCTCCGGGGCGGGGCTGGTGCCCGGGCCGCTCCAGCCCAGTTCTGGAATCCAGCTTCTGCCTCGGGCTGGACATCAGTTGACCTCTTCCTCTTTTTAACGCACGGATTTGGAAAACGCGCTTTAAAGTTCTCCTCTCGAATACAGAACAACTGAAGACATATATTTCTGTAGGAAAGGAGCCGTCTGTTTATTCGAAGGCTCATCGTGGTTGGTTTTCGGTTTGGCAAAGAGAGTTTGACATTGCAGCCTTTCTTTGATCTTTTCAGTGCAGGAAAGTGTTAGTCGCTCTTTCGTGTCCGACTCTTGTGCGACCCCATGGATTCTAGCCCGCCAGGCTCCTCTGTCCGTGGAATTTTCCAGGCAGGAATACTGAAGTGGGTTGCCATTCCCTTCTCCAGGGGATCTTCCCGACCCAGGGATCGAACCCACGTCTGCTGCGTTATAGGCATATTCTTTACCATCTGAGTACCTGCCCTTAATTGGCTTGCAGAAAGCCCTTTGCAGGTACATAAAATATTCCAGGATGCCTCCCTACCCCGCCCATCTTGTTTTTTAGGTTGTTACTTTCCTTAAATTCAGACAAAAAGAAAAAAAAATGCCCTTCCAGTCAAATGCTGTATATTTTTTTCCTCTCAAGTTTCTTACATTTGCTTGGCTCTTATAGACATACGTTAATTTTTGTTTAATTCAGATCAACATATTCTGACCATAATTATATATCATTAAAGCTTGCACAGCATCTGGAAGAAAAGGAAATGGTTATGAAATGCTGTGCTGTTCAGTGATATTGGAGGTGAACGTTTCTTCTGGAGTTGTCCTGATCACCGCCCCCCCCGCCCCCCCCCCCCCCCCCCCAGGGCAGAAGTGTTAAACTGTGTGTTGTGATGTGGACAGGCCTGTGCTTTGCAGGCTGCTTTAAGAAGTTTATCCCAGACTTTTGACTGGTTAAGAATTATGCTCTAGTTCAGATTTTCTGAAGAAGTTAACATGATACCATGATACCATCTTAACTCGTTAACATCTACAATTTTCTTCAGATATCTTACTTCTGCTGTTCCTGATCTCAAAACCAGTCTGAATTTTGATTATGATCTCAAACTTTAGCCAGGGGCTGCTGGTTAAAAAATAAATGGTATAGAACACCTGCATTAAGTCTCAGTAAAGTTTGCTGTAATTCCATTTAATTTGAAAGCCTAGTGCATGAAAGGGTGAAAAATAATTCTTGGTATTGTGGACCAAACTGAGATAGTATGATAATTTAACAGATGGAGGAGCTGAGCTAACAAATGCAGTTAATGCAACTTATGTTGACAGTGCTCATGCTTGTAGTAGAGTGATCACCCTCACATCTGTGAAACATTTTCTATGGCCCCAGCACTTGTGAATTCCACAAGACTGTCAAACTTGTCTCCCTCATCTTTATATTCTGGAGGTAGGAATTGATGATAAATGATGTACTGACTAAATCGTTTTAAATGATGATTAGCAGTATGATGCTGTAGGTTAAATCAGCAGAGTGGCAGAATGGTGACTTCTTACTTCAAATCAAAGTGACTGTAGAATACTTCTCCAGGCATGTGACGCGACTTTCTGGGAGAAAAAGAGCAAGTCACTGAGGGAGGGGGTGGGGGTCATGGGACAAGCCCTCCAGGGAGAAGAAATAGCATGGAGCAGTGGCCCAAGTCAGCGACAAGTCTGGGACATCCTGGAGCTGAAAGAAAGCCCTCCAATTCATTGTCTTAGCAGTGGTTATATTAACCCTCAGACTGGGTGTGTGTTCTTAGGAAATAGGTGCATTTATTTTACAAATATTTATTAAGCACTTATTATATATACAGATACTGAAACTAGAGCAGTCTATGCAATAGACCAAAAAAAAAAAAAAAACCCACCAAAAACAAAACAAAAAAAACTGCCCTTGGTGGGAACTTATCATTTTTGGAGCACAGGTTGTAGGGAAGTACTCTGATGCTCACTATTAAGAAAGTGAAACTGACTATAAACTATTTCTATTGCTTTATCCACACTGAATTTACAGAGCATGACCTTTATGTTAATGAGAATTGTAAGGATTCTGCACTGCTTCCTATAACTAGGAATAATGTTTGATGCTCAAGATTCCTTTTAAAAATCCCCTTTGTTCTTTTATTTGTGCTCTTTAGAAAGTCTTAAGAGTCTCAGTACTAGTATTGCACTTTGATCCTCTCTTCCCACCTTTCCCTTTATAATGTTTATATATTCTCATAGAATGCTAATTTTTGAGATGTTTGGTGAACAGTGTTCAATAGAACTTTGCTGAAATGGAAATGTTCCATCCATGAGCTGTCCAAGCCAGTGGCCACACATGTGCGAACACTTGATAGTGCAAGTTTAGATAATGAGGTATAGTTATTCTGAGCCATAAAACTAGGGATTCTGAATGGGCTTTCAGAAGTATACAGCATGAGTGCTTTGGTGCATTTTAGCTCTGGGCGACGTGCTGGATGGAGAGTGACGTGTAAAGCAGACATCAGAATAACTTGGTTGATGTAACCTGTGTGCAAAGATCATACACGTTTAAATCAGTTTACAGTTAGCTGTCTATCTGTTTCTATGTATTTTACAGTATAGTTGGTGGTTTGGACCCTTTATTTCTCATAGCTCATCATCAGGAGAGCCAGTCACCGTTGTCTTTTAGATATCACTGTGAGCAGAATAAGAGCAGACGAGGAAGCTATGCAGCCGTGTTACTGTGATTCATCGTGAAGTCACCCCAGGCCTGTTTCCCCATCTTCCTTGACTTTAGCCAGATTTCATACAGGGTCTGCAGAAAGGTGGTAAATTTGGTGTTTCTCAATTGAGTGGGCTCACCCGTCCTTAATTTTGTTGTACAGGGCAGCAACAACATGGTTTTGTGTTTTAAAATATAGCAACAACATGGTTTTGTGTTTTAAAAATATAGCAGGCTCTAAGATTTAGTTTCAAATTTTAGCTCTTTTCTTACATTAAGTGTGTTGCTTATTCTCATTATGCCTCAGTTTCTTCGTGTAAAAAATCATAATTATTGTTGTACCTATCTCCGTAGGCTTGGTGGAGGAGTCAGCTGAGAAAATAAACATGGAAGTCCTAAACACAATGCTTAGGAAATAATGTTAGCGATGATCTTGTTGAGTTTTCCTTTCCCTCCCATCCATTCTTTTCATTCTTAGCTCAGCACTGAACCAAGAGACTCACCACTGCACCCTTTCTCTAAGGAAATGCCAGCCAGTCCAGCAGTGGAGCCCTTTTGGCTGAATGATGCTTAGTTGTCTCACCAACAGGAACTTCCTTAAATGCAGGCACTTGAGTAAAGGGGTGAGGAAAACCAGTAGTTTGTAGCTATTTGGCTGATTCTCTGAAGAGCAGAAAAGGAGACCATAAAAGAAAACAGTGGGAAGGCTTATCCTAGGCTTGTTGAATCTTGAGGGTTAAGGTTAATGCTACAAAGGAGGTGGCAGTCCGCGGGACTCAGTGATCATGCTCCGGGCCTCAGCTAATCCTGTGGTCGGGTGGTCCAGAGGCAGGGAAGGTGGTTATGATCTGTTGATGCTGCTCCTGCAGATGCGAGAGCAGAGCTGTCCTTTCTTCTGTGTAGAGTAGGGAAGCGCTTGGTCCCTGGATGTGCCTTATCCCATTTGGATCCTGGCAGCAGGCCCAAATGTTAAGTGTCTTCCTCAAAGTAGAGACTTCCCACTTTTGCCAGTTCCACTGGCAACAGCAAAGGCAGTTGGTGAGTTCCTGCAGCTTCAAAGACATAGAGACACTGCAGAGAGTGGAGAGTGTGTCTTGCAGGCGTGGATATGAGACTCATCTGTGTGTGTGTGTGGACAGAAGAGCACCCACAAGAAGGTACGTAAAGAAGAAGAGGAACAGTTCCCCATCTAGTGTGTTCGTGTTGGCCGGGAGCCTAGTTGATAGAGGGAAAGGAGAAAGAAAGATATCAGTGAGCCAGGAGGACGTTGCCCCTGTCTGTACAGTAGAATATTGTTTGGCAGTGAACAGGAAGGGAGGAGGCAATGGAATCCCACTCCAGTCCTCTTGCCTGGAAAATCCTGGGGACAGGGGAGCCTGGTAGGCTGCAGTCCATGGGGATGCGAAGAGTCGGACACGACTGAGCAACTTCACTTTCACTTTTCACTTTCATGCATTGGAGAAGGAAATGGCAACCCACTCCAGTGTTCTTGCCTGGAGAATCCCGGGGGGGGGGGGGGCCTGGTGGGCTGTGGTCTATGGGATCACACAAGAGTCAGACAGGACTGAGGCGACTTAGCAGCAGCAGCAGCAGTAGTGAACAGGAAGGAAGAATTGATACATACTGCAACATGGATGGGCCTTGAAATGCGGAGAAAAAGAAATCAGTAACAAAAAGAACACATTGTATGATTCCTTTAATATGAAATGTACAGAAGCTGCAAGCCTGTAAAGACATAAAATAGATGAGTGGTGGCCTGCAGTTTAGGAGCTTGTGGAGAAATGGGGAGTTACTGCTAATGGGTATCAGCTTTATTTGCGGGGTAAGGAAACGTTCTAGCAGTGACGTGGTGGTTGCACAGCTTTTTATATTATGAGTATTTAAAAACCCCACTGGATAGTGCACTTTAAGCGGGTGAGTGCGTGCCATGTGAATCGTCTAAGTAAGGCTGCTGTGTTCAGGTCCATCCGCTCTTCTGCCTGCAGCCCACCGGGCTCCTCAGTTCACGGGATCATTCAGGCAAGAGTCCTGGAGTGTCTTACCATTTCCTTCTCCAGGGGATCTTCCTGACCCAGGGAGTAAACCCGCATCTCCTGTGTCTCTTGCATTGGCAGGCAGAATCTTTACCCCCTGAGCCATCAGGGAAGCCCTTTTCAACCCCCAAGCTGTTAGTGGGGGAAAAAAAGATGCAAAATTTAAAGATCTAGTTGGTGTTTTGTAGGGAGCTTGGGTAGTATTGATGTTGCTGGATCCCAGGTTCAGTGTAGTTTGGGTGCTCAGCTCTTCAGGTGGCTGCGAGCCCAAGTCCAAGGCTGCCTGGGAGTAATCTTAATCCTGCTGCCCTGCTGTTTGAAGAGAAGTTTGGTGTCCCTTTTATGAAATTGGTTTTGGGTCTCTCTCAATGACTTAGTGAAGTCCAAAGGGCTCAGTATAGATGAACTGGACCTGTCGATCAGGGAGAGGGAATGGAGAGCATCTGAAACCTCCCAGAGGTTCCAGGGTGGCCTCGATGCGGCAGAGCGGAGGCATGGCCCTAGTGCTGTTTTTCCTGTCTCAGCCGTCCCACTGTTGTACTTCCTACCAGCACCAACCATTGGATCCAAGGCACATATTTCCTTGTGCTCTCTGCCCTCCCAATTAGCAGAAATCTCCAGTGGATTCTTCTTGCAACATATTCAAACCAAACCTAGCATCCAGAGCCCACCCTCTTCTGTGACATCAGTGTTATGGGGCAGCAGGGACAGGTGGTGTTAGAACCAGAAGCCTGGAATTGAATCCGACGTCTGCCTGGTGGGTCGTTTGGGGTACCTTTCCAGTTACTTAATCTTCATAAGCCACAGTTTGCTCATTGGTAAAGCCAGGTTCACTTGCCACTACCTACTTTAAAGGGGAGAACTTGAACATTAAATTAGACAGTCCATGTGAAATGCTTTTCATTTCACAGATGTGCAGTGACTGTGAGGCCATTGCACTCCTTCCTTCTCTGTGTCATCTCCTGCTTGCCCGACCATGAGGCATCTGATCCAGGGTTGACCGTAGATTCCCCTTGCTCTGGGAAATGACACCCTGCCTTCATACTGCCCATGTGGTCTGGGTCTGTCCACCTCGGCTTCATGTCTTTGTCTTTGTTGTTTTTCATATAGTCATACTCAGGTATCCAAGTCTTACACCTGTTTCATAAATTCTTTTTAGAGAAGGGTGATAGTCATGTTTCCTTTTCCCCATCCCTATCACTTTTGCCCAGCACATGACTTTCTACTGACCCAACCCACCCACTAGCAGAGGTGGGATTCACTTCCAGGATTCTGGTTCTAAAGCTGTCCATCCTTGCTGCCCCATAAAACTAATGTCACAGAAGACGGCAGGCTTGTATTGCTTTTATTGTTTTACATTATTAGCTTTTTCATTCTCCTAAACGGCAGACTTGATTTGAGCATTCTTTGGCATTGCCTTTCTTTGGGATTGGGATGAAAACTGTCCTTTTCCCGTCCTGTGGCCACTGCTGAGTTTTCCAAATTTGCTGGCATATTGAGTGCAGCACTTTCACAGCATCATCTTTTAGAATTTGAAATAGCTCAACTGGAATTCCATCACCTCCACTAGCTTTGTTTGTAGTGATGCTTTGTGAGGCCCACTTGACTTCACATTCCAGGGTATCTGGCTCTAGGTGAGTGATCACACCATTGTGATTATCTGGGTCATAAAGATCTTTTTTGTACAGTTCTGTGTATTCTTGCCATCTTCATTCCAATTCCAAAGAAAGGCAATGCCAAAGAATGCTCAAACTACCGCACAATTGCACTCATCTCACACACTAGTAAAGTAATGCTGAAAATTCTCCAAGCCAGGCTTCAATAGTTCGTAAACTGTGAACTTCCAGATGTTCAAGCTGGATTTAGAAAAGGCAGAAGAACCAGAGATCAGATTGCCAACATCTACTGGATTATCGAAAAAGCAAGAGAACTCCAGAAAAACATCTACTTCTGCTTTATTAACTATGCCAAAGCCTTTGACTGTGTGGATCACAACAAACTATAGAAAATTGTGAAAGAGATGGGAATACCAGACCTCCTGACTTGCCTCTTGAGAAACCTGTATGCAGTCAGGAAGCAACAGTTAGAACTGGACATGGAACAACAGACTGGTTCCAAATAGGAAAAGGAGTACATCAAGGCTGAATATTGTCACCCTACCTATTTAACTTAAATTCTGAGTACGTCATGAGAAACACTGGGCTGGATGAAGCACAAGCTGGAATCAAGATTGCTGGGAGAAATATCAATAACCTCAGATATGCAGATGACACCACCTTTATGGCAGAAAGTGAAGAAGAACTAAAAAGTCCCTTGATGAAAGTGAAAGAGGAGAGTGAAAAAGTTGGCTTAAAGCTCGACATTCAGAAAACTAAGATCATGTTATCCGGTCCCATCACTTCAAGGCAAATAGATGAGGAAACAGTGACAATTTATTTTTGGGGGCTCCAAAATCACTGCAGATGGTGACTGCAGCCATGAACTAAAAGATGCTTGCTCCTTGGAAGAAAATTTATGACCAAACTAGACAGCATGTTAAAAAGCAGAGAGATTACTTTGCCAGCAAAAGTCCATCTAGTCAAAGCTGTGGTTTTTCCAGTAGTCGTGTATGGATGTGAGAGTTGGACTATAAAGAAAGCTGAGCACCAAAGAATTGATACTTTTGAACTGTGGTGTTGGAGAAGACTCTTGAGAGTCCCTTGGACTGCAAGGAGATCCAACCAGTCCATTCTAAAGGAAATCAACCCTGACTGTTCATTGAAAGGACTGATGCTGAAGCTGAAACTCCAATACTTTGGCCACCTGATGTGAAGAACTGAGTCATTTGAAAAGATCCTGATGCTGGAAGGGTTGAAAGCGGGACAAGACAGGTCGACAGAGGATGAGATGGTTGGATGGCATCACCAACTCAAGAGACATGAGTTTGAGTGAACTCCGGGAGTCGGTGATGGACAGGGAGGCCTGGCGTGCTGCCATCCATGGGGTTGCAAAGAGTCGGACATGACTGAGTGACTCAACTGAACTGAACTGATTCGAGCAGATACTTTCTCTTGATTGTTCTGTTTGCTTGTTTGCAGCTCCCCAGGCCCTAATGTAATGTAGGGTGTGTAGCAGAGTCAGTGACTGCCCACACACACCTTTGCAGTGTTCTGAGCACACTCAGAAGATCGTAGAGGAGTAGTTGAAATTCTTCGCTGGGCACAGTCCTATCTACAGGGACACCCCTCTTTATCCTTTTTCCCTAGCCATGACTGATGTGTGGCGTGGACCAAAGACCAGAGCTTCATTTTACCGCCTTCCTGTGGCAGCCGCCCCACTTAGCTTCCTGTTCTAAGATACTGGCTTCCACAGCAGAATCCTCCTTGCTCTGTCGGGGGAGTGTGTGTGTGATGGGCGTTTTACAGGATATTTCCTTTTTTCTTAACTTGTTGGCTCTTCTCTTTCACATTGAGCCTTTTTTCCCATTAAAATTAGAGACCCATTAGTGAGCTGTTCCTGGGTAAGTTAAATGAGATGAAATTTCTGGGGAAAGCCTGAAATCTGTGTGCTATATAATTCATAATTGAATTCCTCTTCTCCGCCAGGAATTATTTTAAATGTTGGAGAAAGAAAGATAAATAGTATGTGGACCCTGGCCTATAGCTGCTCACAGTTTAGTTAAGGAGAAAATATACAAATGGTTAAAATGATACACAGGAAAGGCAGTGACTAAGTCATCCTTCGTGAGATCAAAGATGTTTCCAAAGGGAATGGACAATTTGAACCTTATTTTATTTAACATGTTTAATTCAGTTCTGTCCTATAAAGTCCATTTTTTAAAATATCAACATGTGAGTTTTACTCTTTGACATGTTCCTTTGCTAAATTTCAACCCTGTTAGGTTCATCAAATTCATAATAAGGAGAAACATTAAAATAGGTATAATTATGTGACTTCTCTTTATGTTATTTAGGTAACTGCTGAGAAAACTGCACTGCTCACCAACAGCTGATGAAATTAGCGAACAAGCGAATCAACCATGTCTTACACTCCAGGAGTTGGTGGTGACCCCGCCCAGTTAGCCCAGCGTATCTCTTCCAACATCCAGAAGATCACGCAATGCTGTGAGTTGAGTTTTTTTTGTTGTTTGTTTGTTTTTGTGAGTTGAGTTTTAAATTGACTTCACTGTTTGTTTTCAATTCTTTTTTTTTTTGGATGGGAAAAAGAGTATTTATTTAGTCTCTGATGTATGTGGTACATCTTCTTTATTTATTTTTTTCATTTATTTTTATTAGTTGGAGGCTAATTACTTTACATTATTGTAGTGGGTTTTGACATACATTGACATGAATCAGCCATGGATTTACATGTATTCCCCATCCCAATCCCCCCTCCCACCTCCCTCTCCACCCGATCCCTCTGGGTCTTCCCAGTGCACCAGGCCCGAGCACTTGTCTCATACATCCAACCTGGGCTGGTGATCTGTTTCACTATAGATAATATACATGTTTCGATGCTGTTCTCTCAAAGCATCCCACCCTCGCCTTCTCCCACAGAGTCCAAAAGTCTGTTCTGTACATCCGTGTCTCTTTTTCTGTTTTGCATATAGGGTTATCATTACCATCTTTCTAAATTCCATATATATGTGTTAGTATGCTGTAATGTTCTTTATCTTTCTGGCTGGCTTTGTTTTCAATTCTTTCTGGGAACTTGGTGGAGATTCAGAAATGGACAACTAGTGTTCCTCCAAGAAGAGATTTTAAAAGGCTGGACCTCTTTAGAAGGAATGTAAGAAATAATTACATTAGAAGAGACCAGTTAACTGCATTTTTCTGTAGTGTGTTAGGCAGCTAATAAACGTTCATTAATGAAAGATTTAAAAATGTAGATACCGAGGTTTACTTTAAAACTATCTGAATCTAGATGAGATGATCTGATGAAATCTCATAGCTTTGGAGCTTGGAAGCACTATCAAGTTTTAGGAACTTTAGTTTGTTAAAAATAAAATCTGGCTGGATATGATTTAGGTTAATTTTGTCAGGGGCAAATGTGTGGTACATTATTAAGGACAGGGATGAACTAAAGCGGGGGTATTGCTATCTCCTGAGGCAGATGTAGAAGATAACCATCTTGATTCCCCACAAATTATCCTTTGCTGTACTTGTCAAAGATGGAATACTAGAAAAATAGTTTAATGTGGCATATTGTTAGGAATTATTACTCCTCAGAGTATATATAATAAGAATTTTTTTAAAAAATCACAGATCTGAGCTATGGGTTTTTTTGGCTTTTTGTTTCTGAATCACAGCTAACCCTATACCTGGATTATTCTGGTCATTTTGCAGTCAGTATTTTGGTCATCCGGACTTACCTAAACTCTTTCAGGATATGTTAATCCACGTAGTTGTATTTTTCAGCCTACCTCATTAAGGCTTCTCTGTTTACCAGAATACTGATGCACTGGAACATCTGAAATGTTTTCAGATGACCAGCTGTGTTTCTGTAATCATTAACTTCCCAACAGTTAATTACTCTACCTGAAAGATTGAAGTGAGATATCAGTGTGTTTTGGAGTCAAAGGGGGTAAATTCAATTACAGATGATTCTAAAAAAGCGCTGCCATGTTCAGCAGTGTAAGGTAACTCATATTCCGACTTGGGGTAACTCTAGTTTTCCTTGGCTGTCCGTGGAGCAGCAAGGAAGGGAATGGCATGGAGGTCCCACCTTGCCCCTGCAGAGTCCGTAGGATCAGCGCCCGGATGCTTGTTCCAGTTTGTCCCGGGGCGCCCATGTTGGCTCCACCTTGCTCCTCTGGCTTCAGGTCTGTCCTCGTAGTTAACTGCAAGGGCCTGTCCTTTTATGGTTCCCTCACTGCTGATTAGAAATACTGCTAGTCTCCCTCAGGCTGTGGGAAGATAAAATGAATTTATAATTTTAATTTGCATATGTGGAAATTCAGGACCTTTATCCAAGAAAGGAGGCCAGGAGGTCTTTTTCCATAGGATAGGATTGGTATCTTAGGTTGGGAAAGCTAAATGGTGTCAGGAGTTCTGGGAAGAAGATGGGAATGACTGTAATGCCCAGAGATTACAGAAGTGTGCACTTAGTAGGATGAAGGATACGTGGATTGGAAATGGTGTCTGAGCTTGAACCGGAAGGAAGGTAAGAGTTAACTTCAGTTAGGTCACACTCCCTCAAGGCCACCCAGATGATGTGAGGTAAGTTGGACCAGACTTGCATACTCATGACGTGGTTGATAGCTAAATATGTGACGACACTGTGGTTTGGGTCAGTCTTGGGGTATGTGGGAGGGTGAAGAGAAGACCCGAAACTCTTGTTTTTAACAGCCTTGTGAAGAGCCGTTAAAGAGACGGGACTGCTCAGCCCCGGGAAGGTACAGTCACCACCTTCAGACACTTGAAGCGCTGTCTTGTCTGAAGCACAAGGGATTGACCCTGCTTCATCACAGAGGCCTCCACAGATGGACAGAACCATGGTAGTCAGTCTTCAGCTTGCGAAGGAATAAGGGCTTTTGAACAATCCTGGTTGCTTAGAGATAGAACTGTCTACCTCAGAAGCAGCACAATTCTGAGCAGCATATGGTGGTAAGATATTTCTCAGGTCTGTTACTCAGAGTTTTAGATTCCTGAATAATGGTTCAGACAGAGTGACTTTAAAATTTTGATATTAGGTCTTTATTCATTCAGCAAATAATTTCTTGAGCACCAGCTGCTTGCTTGTCACTGTTTAAGACCCAGGGTATCCAGCAGTAAACAAGATCCAAAAGGTCCTGTTCTGTAGTTTCCAGTGTGAGGAGAAACTGATGGATTTTTATTAAAAGAATTAATGAGCAACTTAGTTTCCCGTGAAGAAAAAAGAATAATGAGTGTGATATGAGCGCAGGTGATTAGGGGGAAGCTGCCTTAGCTTAGAGAATCCTCTGAATGCAGAAGAGGAGGGGCTGGTAGGGAGAAGATACTGGGGAAGAGCAATTAGTTGGAAGCCACAGCTGGTAGTTTTAAAAAGCAGTCCAGAGCTTAGGGTGTTCAGAAAACAGGAAAAGAAAAATCCAGTGTGGCTGATGCACAGCACTTGAGGCAGGAGTGGCAAGAGGCAGAACTGGGAGAGGAGGCCAGTCAGGTCACCTAGAGCCTTGGAGGCCATGGGAGGCCTTGTGGAGCTTAGATTTCATTCCAAGAGGCAGGGAAGAGACACAATCAGATCTGCACTTTGACAAGATTACTTTGGCTGCTGCTTAGGAAACAGACTTCGAGGAACTAGAAGGAGGACACCCTGGCCGTTTGAAGAGAGAGATGTTGCCTTGCCCCAGAGTGGTAGCCGGGGCAGTGCTGGATGTAGTGTGGAGGCACAGCCAGCAGGACTTGTAATGCTTGGGGTGTGGCGGGGGCGGGAGGGAGGGAGGAGACCTGGATGGTGCCGTGGCTTTTGCATTGAGCAGCTAAGTGGATGGTGGTGAGTATGTACTAAGATGGGAAGAACGATGGTTCAGGAGATAGGGGAGAGTTTTGTTTTGGCCAAGTAAAATTTTGAAACGTCTTTTAAACCTCTAAGTGGAGATGTCGATCGTCTAGTTTAGATATATAAGTTTGGAGACCAGAGTGACATCAGAATACAAATGATATTTGAAACTATAAATCTAAAATAATCACATAGAAGGGAGTAGAATTCAGAGGGCTGGAGCATTAAAAAACAATGTAGAAGTTGGAAAAGCAGGAAGAAACAGCACAGTCAGGGAAGGAATGACCATTAAGGTAAGAAGAAAATCAATCTCTGCTGTGGTTCCAGAAATTAAAAAGTGTTTCAAGAATGGGTGAGGCATCACGTGTCTAATGCTGCCAAGACACTGAATAAGATGAAAGCAGAGAATTGAATCTGGCAAACTGGTGACTTTGAAAGAATAAATCCCTGGATATATTCCAGGGATGAAAAGTTGGTTCAGCCTCCGCAAACCAGACCATGTGATGCATACAATGCATTAACAAAATGAAGGATAAAAATCATATGATCATTTCAGTAAATAGAGAAAAAACATTTGACAGAATTTAACATCCATTTATGATAAAAACTCTCAACAACGATGGGTATGGAGGGAACTTACTTTAACATAGTAACATCCATAGTAACAAGCCTGCAGCTAACATCATACTCAATGGTGAAAAGCTAAAAGCTTTTCCTCCAAAATCAGGAACAAGCATAAGGATACCCATTATTGCCACTTTCATTCAAAAGTATTGGAAGTCCTGGACAGAGCATTAGGCAAGAAAAATAATAGAAGGCATCCAAATTGGAAAGGAAGAAGTAAAACTCACTATTTGTGGATGACATGATATATATATAGAAAACCCTTTAGACTCCATCAAAAAACTAGTATGACTAGTAAAATATAGAACTAATATAAACAAATTTAGTGATGTTGCAGGTTACAAAATCAATACTCAAAATCCATTGTGTTTCTATACACTAAAAACAAACTATCAGAAAGAGAAATTAAGAAAATTACAATTGCATCAGAAAGGAATAAATTTAACCAGGGATATATATTGAAAAATACCAGACATTAAGAAAAGAAATTGAAGGAGACACAAGTAAATGGAAAGATATTCCATGCTTATGGATCAGAAGAATTAATATTATGTCCATATTACCCACTGTAATCTACAAGTTCGGTGTATCAACTATCAAAATTACAATGGTATTTTTCATAGAATAAACGATCTTAACATTTAAGAATTGCAAAACATCCTGAATAACCAAAACAATCTTGGGGAAAAAAAAAAAGCTGGAGTAATCATGCTCTCTGATTTTAAACTATTACAGAACCATAGCAATTAAAACAGTATGGTATTGGCATTAAAAACAAACACATAGGTCAATGAAAAATAAACCCATGTATATATTATCAATTAATTTACAATAAAGCCAAAAATGTACAGTAGAAAAAGGAGTCTCTTCAATAAATTGTGTTGGGAAAACTGGACAGGCACATGGAAAAGAATGAAACAGCACTGCTATCTAACACTAATACACAAAAATTAACTCAGAATGGTGTAGACTTGAACATAAGGCCTGAACTATACAACTCCTAGAAGAAAACATAGGTGGT